GAGAAGGCTCACTCCTGCAGAAATGGAAGAAAAAAGGGCTCAAGGCTTATGTTTCTTTTGTGATGGGAAGTATGTGGTAGGACCCAAATGTCAAGCTAAAAGGCAACTTTTCTCATTAGAAGTGGAGTAGTGTGGAACCATAGAAGAAGAAGAAGAAGTAACAGTGGGAAAAGAGGAGGAAGAAGAAGCAATAGAGGTAGAAGCTTTGGAGAACTGTGCCATATCATTGTAGGCTTTGAATGGGACAATGGGGTACCAAACTCTGAGACTCAGAGATTTTACTAAGCAGCAACCCTTAGAGATATTTATAGATTATGGTTCAACACACAATTTTATAGATAAAGATACATCTAAAAAGCTAGGGTGCAAGATCAACAAAATTAAACCTCAGTTGGTACAAGTAGCAGATGGAAGGGAAGTACCCACATATAGTATGTGTAAGGGGTTCCAATGGTTGATGCAGGGAACTGTGTTTCAAGATGATTTCCTAGTGTTTCCCATTGGGAAAAGTGATGTAGTCCTTGGCATTCAGTGGCTATATCCTTTAGATGACGTCAAGTTCAACTTTAAGAAATTGTTGATGGAATTTGAGTACCAAGGCAAGTAGCTGACCTTGAGAGGAATACAACCTAAGTTCAAGACTATGAAAGCCAAGTCACTGGAGAAAATGGTAGTGGGGGATCTCAACTCTTCATGATAAAGGTACAGACAACAGAAACTAAAGGTACAGGGTTGGAAGCGGATCAGCTAGAAGAGCAACCTACCGAAGTTAGAAGGGTACTTGAGAAGTATGCAGAGTTGTTTGGAGAACCAACTCAGTTACCACCTTCAAGGGGTGTTTTTGACCACCATATTCCACTATTGGAAGGCACCTCACCCATGAATTCCAGACCCTATAGGTATTTTCCCCTCCAAAAGGATATAATTGAAACTATGATCAAGGAAATGCTGAAACAAGGGATTATCCAATACAGTTCAAGCCCTTATGCCTCACCTGTGGTATTAATGGGGAAAAAGATGGCTCTTGGAGGTTGTGTGTAGATTATAGAGCATTGAACAAGGCAACTGTGAAGGATAAGTTTCCAATTCCCATCATAGAGGAGCTACTGGATGAGCTAGGGGGATCTCAGGTCTATTCCAAAATAGACCTAAGGGCTGGCTATCACCAGATAAGGATGGCTGAATCAAATGTTCATAAAACAGTCTTTAAACACACTCTGAACATTATGAGTACTTGGTCATGCCATTTGGCTTGACCAATGCACCCTCAAGCTTCCAAGGGTTAATGAACCACATATTCCAAAATTACCTCAGAAAGTTCATTTTGGTTTTTTTGATGATATTTTGGTTTATAGCAGGAGTTTGGAAGGACACCTTCAACACTTAGAGATGGCATTTGAATTGCTAGTACCACATCAGCTTTTAGCCAAAAAAAGCAAATGTATTTTTACTGCGGAAATGATAGAGTACCTTGGGCACTACATTTCAGCACAAAGGGTATCTACTGATCCAAGAAAGGTGGAAGCTGTGAGTCTATGGCCTGAACCTCAGACGGTGACACAATTGAGAGGATTCTTGGGCCTAGCAGGGTACTACAGAAGGTTCATCAAAAATTATGGAATCATTAGCAAGCCCCTGACTGACATGATCAAAAAGGACAGTTTTCTCTGGAGTGAAGAAGCTAAGGCAACTTTCCAACAACTTAAAGAATCACTGACTACTGCACCAGTTCTAGCCCTTCCAGACTTTTCATTGGTGTTTATGGTTGAAACTGATGCATGCAACATGGGCATTGGGGCTGTTTTAATGCAGAGAGGACACCCTATTGCATTTCTTAGTAAGGGACTCACCAAAAGACATCATTCTCTGTCTGTTTATGAGAAAGAATTGTTGGCATTAGTATTAGCTGTGAACAAGGGGTCTCAATATCTAGTAGGCAGGCCCTTTATTGTGAAGACAGATCAGAAGGCACTTAAATTCCTGTTGGAAAAAAACTTCACACAGGAACTCAACTTAAATGGATCACTAAATTGATTCAGTTCAATTTTGAGATTGAGTACAAGAAAGAAAGAGAGAACAAGGCAGCTGATGCACTATCAAGACTCCCTCTTATTAACTTAACTGCAATGACACTTTCCACTGCAAAAACTGACCTATTGGAGCTAATAATGAAGAGCTGAGCTGCTGAGATAAGGATGAAGAATTGGTAGCAATGATACAAACACTGAAGGAGAAGGGAGCTGAATCTAATAATTATACCTACATTCATGGTCAACTAAGAAGAAAGGGAAAATTGGTAGTGGGACCTGACCAACAACTGAGAAAGGATATCCTTAAGCTGTGGCATGATTCTCCAGTAGGAGGACACTCTGGCATTGACAATACTTATAGGAAGTTGGCAACACTCTTTTGGTGGAAGGGAATGAAAGAAGAGATCTAGAGTTATGTAAGAGCTTGTGATACATGTCAAAGACACAAATATGACAATGCACCTTACCCAGGGCTGCTGCAGCCTCTCAAGATTCCAGTAGCAGCTTGGAGTAGTATAAGCATGGATTTTATAGAAGGTTTGCCTAAATCAAAGGGGAAAAGTGTGATTTGGGTGGTAATAGACAGGCTTACAAAGTATGCTCACTTCATTAGTCTGTCCCACCCTTATTCTGCTCATGACATAGCTAAACTATTTATGGAAAATATCTACAAGCTACATGGGATGCCAGAGGATATTACCAGCAACAGAGACCCCATTTTTACAAGCAAGGTCTGGCAGGAGCTCTTTTCTATCCTAGGAGTAACTCTGAAAACCTCCACTGCCTACCACCCGCAGACTGATGGACAAACAGAAGTTGTGAATAAATGTGTGGAGACCTATCTGAGGTGCCTTTGCTCAGATTCTCAGACTGATTGGGCTCAGTTCTTGGCAGCAGCTGAATGGTGGTATAACACCACCTTTCATACCGCAATTCAAAGCACACCTTATGAGGCCTTGTATGATCAACCTCCTCCTATACATCTACCATATATGGCTGGAGACTCAGGAGTAGAAGAGGTAGACAGAAGTTTGCTAACCAGGGAATTCAAGGGGCAACTGCTCAAGTATCATCTAAAGAGAGCACAACAACGAATGTTGGCTCAAGCCAACAAGCACAGACCCGACAGGCAGTTCAAAGAGGGGGAATGGGTCTATCTCAAAATCCAGCCATATAGGCAAATCTCTATGTCGGGAAAGCCCCTTTCTAAGTTATGTGCTAGGTACTATGGTCCTTATCAAATTCTACAAAAGGTAGGTCCTGTAGCCTATAAACTATCACTTCCCCCTCAACTTCTCTTACACCCTGCCTTCCATGTCTCCCATCTTAAGCTTTGCCATGAGCTACCGGCCACTATTTCTCACCCACCAGTCATAGACCTATCAAGTCCTTTTTGTCCCCTGCCTGAGAAAATCTTGGAAAGAAGAATGATCCAAAAAGGAAACAAGGCTGTGGCTCAAGTCCTAATACAATGGAAGCAGGTACCTGTTAAGTGTGCAACCTGGGAAGACTATCGAGCTCTGGAAGTACGCTTTCCAGCTTTTCTTCCTTGGGGACAAGGAAGATGTTAAGGAGGGGGAACTGATGCAAGTTTGGAAGTTGCAGCTATTCTGGGTTGTACGAAGAGCTTGCGCAGTAGTACTTAGCGGTTAAGTTAGTTAAGAGAGTCTTTTATGTATGAGCAATTGAGTCCTGTATTAATTTAAATGTAAGTTTTGGTAAAGACACATTGACCCCGTTACTTATCAATTCTAGGCTCTTGGGGTCCACTAGAATTAGTTAAACTCTTTTGTCTTTTAGCTAGTAGTGGAGACATATATATATTCTGTAATGGGACGCTGAAATCATCAATGAAAATATTCTCATTTTAAATTCTTCTTCTCTTTCTTAGCTAGTTGTAGATTTAGCCCTAAAACCTAGCTGCCGCATCATGATGTTAGAAGCTTTCCATCCAATCTGGTCATTGCTCCTTTCTTTTTCTTTCTTTAAATTTTTGTGGCAGGGGATATTTAATTGGGTTATATTTGATTTGTTTGGTCTGTGTTTGGTGGGAAGGAGGTTTAACGGAGATGGTAATTAATATGGTTGAAATCAAATGGATTAGGGGTTTTGGGCGAAAATGGTGGCTGAAAATTCAGAGACATTTACCAGTGAGTTCTCTCGTGAACTCGAGTTTTCCGGTGGTCTATGAGTTTCTTGGATTTGGGACTTGATCGGAGGCTTTACCGGCAATAGCTTCTTTTACTGATTCTACGGGGTGGGGGAGGGGGGAGGGGGGAGGGGAGAGGGGAGTTCAGCGGTGAAAATGACATGGAACTTTAATAAATTAATTTTAAAAATGGGACCCACAAATGACACATGTCAAGTAATAAATAGTCTAGCATATGATGCATTGTACATACACCACAATTGATATGCATGTGCTGTTGGATGTATTTATTAGTACTCATTCTGTTAAGATGGAGTGTTCAAATAGGAAAGATATAAGTTTGTGTACTGAATTAGCAAAGGGGTACAAGTTTAAGCCTTTGTAATATTTCACAACGCAATGCAAATGTGCTCTACACCCTTTTTTCTGTGGGATTTTTCCCCTGTTTGGGTATTTGATATTTGATTGAAATGTTCTCTTTCATTCTAGATTACAATTGGAAAGGAAATAAATTCAATCCTTTTTATATGCATAATAACGATTAAGGGTGAATTTTAGCGTCATCTCATGTGCATTTATTCCCTCCAAAGATGATCATAAATAAAAAAGGGACTTCGAGTCGGCAAGAACAAATAAATAGCTTATGAATAACTTTTGTTTTTAAAATTAGGGTACTATGATCATACTTGTAAAAACTGTTCATAATTATGAATTAGGCATCAAGAATACTATCTTCTCAAAATAATATTTACTATCTTAAAGATAAAATTACGATGAAAACGGCAAAAGCCAAAAGGGAAAAAATTCTACATGGATTTATCCTAGTTCTTAATGATATTTATAGCAAAACACAATTTCAAAGGAATTCGGAAGTGCCAGAGATCAACTGTATCTCCCTTTTGAAGATTGTTAGCTTCCACAAGATTGTTCCATCCTTTGTTAAGCACAAATCTATTCAAGCTCTGCCATCTGGTGAACTTCATCTTATGAAAGTTACCCTCTTGATCCATTACTTTGACCTCAAAACTTTTATCTTTATCATCGTTCTCTAACTTGATTCTCTCCTCTTCACTCAAGTTATTGAGTAGTTCTTTGTCGAATGTACCCGGAATTAAGAGCCTGCTCAATTCTGGGTTGATGTCTGATTCTTCTGCCTTCTTCCTTCCGATGTAAACCAGTCCACTCCCTCCGGCAAGTCGAATAGCCTGACACATATTTGTTGGAGGCAAATTCTCTTGTAATGCCGCTTCTTGTTCTTGTTGTTGTTCAACGTTGCATGGGTAAATGCGTGTTCCAAATAGCTTTATGGTCTTCGGCTCCTCCTCCACTTCAATTTCTTTCCCAAAGAGTTTTATTCGAGTCATTGCTCAATTGATGTTGTTGGAAGTGTAAACTTTGTATGTTATATATATATAGGGGGTTAGCTTGTATCCTAGCGCTATGTTTTTTCCTATTTGAGCTGGATTCGGAAAAGTTATTTTGTGTGTCTACCGTTAGCAACAATCCCATGCATATTAGAATTAGGAAAGATATATTACCGCGTCCAAAAACTCGTAGTTAAAGAAAATAGAACAAATTTTCCAGAAAACCATACTTATTGGATTGAAATTATATTACACAAGTACCTATAAAGTTCCCAAAACATGGGCTTCAGGCCTAGTGACGTGATCACGCCCAACTATGCCGTATAAAAGGACAATGCGGTCGCTGCAAATATAATCCGGTTTACAAGTCCGGAGTCGAATCCCACAGAGAGTTAACCTATCAACTGCTACCTTCAGACCCACCAAGTCTTCAGAACCAGCTTTCCAAATATTCAAATTCTCAGTTGATTGTTCTTTAATAACTAACTTGCAAGTAAATAAAAGGCTATAACTAAATTAGAAGGGTTGTAAACAATTATGAAAAAAAGCTAAGGCAATGATTTCCCCTATTGATGAAATCCCTTCTGTTTATGCTCATACAAATTTACCCACACATCTCTAGCAATCATGAACGCTAATCTTACCGCAAATCTCTCCCAAGTAATCACAGTAATCTACTATTGCACTCTCCCGAGATACACTAGCTTGCTTAAATTCGCACAATTCAATTTAAATTGCACCCAAGGCTTCGTTATTCCTAATCCCGCCTTTAAACCCGCAATTATAGATTCCTCTAATAATCTAGGAGTGGTGTTGTTCAACAATACCCTAAATATGCACTCTTTTCCAAGTTATGCACACTAAATAGGCACAGCTAATTGAGGATCCTGTCAATTAACTACAACGAACACGAAGTTGAACAAATAAAGATTTAACTAGCAATTTGTATTCACATAAACAAGAAGTTCATCACTCAATAGGGTCCATCAAAGCCTTAGACAAGGAATTTAGCTACTCATGACTATGGGAGAATAAACTAAGATTGAATTCATCATAAAATCAAAAGAAAAGAAGAAAGATGTTTAGAGTACTTTCTCACAATTGTTTTTCTTGCTAAGAACCCTTAGAATTCAATATCTCCCCCTTTTTGGGCGAAGTCTAGCGTTTTAAATAGGGTTTAGGTCTAAAAATCCCGTGTTTTACACTTAAGTCCCCGAAGTTTTCTGTACCCACCGCGGTTCTACCGCGGTCGCGGTAGAACCGCGGTCAAACGCCTTCGCGGAATCTTCAACCTTCAGAGACTGCCTTCCACCGCGGTCGCGGTAGAACCGCGGTGGAACTTGTACCCGGGCATTTTGGCCTGTTTTGAATGGGTTACTTTGGAAATTCAACAATTAGCCTCTTTTCATCAATAATTGACTCCAAAACCGCTCCTTAGCCTTCCTTACACCTATTTCACCTGCAAATCATGTAAAGCACTAATAAGAGCATTTTGTTGTCATTTTCCACATTAAAAGTTCACAAGAAGGTGATTATTTGGTGCGTGATTATAGTCAAATTCACCTATTATCAACACCCCACACTTAAACCTCTGCTCGTCCTCGAGAAAACTAAACCACACTTCTAGGCCTAACTGCTCAATGCATTGCCCCCAATTTATGTCACACCTGCTATTATCAAAGATTGACCTNACTTTGCAATCCAAGATTACAAAATCTGCAGGGAACACGAATTTCCCCACCTGAATAAGCACATCATCAAGAATCCCAAATGGACGCTTAACAGTCCTGTCAGCCAGCTGCAATAACATAGAAGTAGGTCGAGCTCTGCCAATGCCTAACCTCTTATAAATGACCAGGGGCATGAGATTAATGCTGGCCCCTAAATCACAAAGTGCCTTAGCAAATGCATAGTTACCAATGGTGCATGGAATTGTAAAACTACCTGGATCAGATAGTTTTTCAGCAACAGGTCTAGATACCACTGCACTACATGTCTGAGTAAGGGTCACAGTCGATAAGTCTTGAAAGTCAAACTTCCGAGACATCAAGTCCTTCATCATTTTAGCATATCCTGGCATCTCCTTTAGAGCTTCAATCAGTGGAATGTTTATCTGGATTTGTTTGAGCATCTCTAGGAACTTTTTGTACTGCTCCTCTTTTTGATGCTTGGCCAACCTTTGCGGGAATGGTGCAGGAGGTCTTTTCTTCCCAATCACGTGAGGTTTCTCCTTTTCAGCTACTGTCTCAACTATCGGTTCCGTTGCTGTCTCAACTACTGGCTCAATTACTGTCTCAGTCTCTTGCTGCATATTCTTTTCTTCAGGAGTAGGCTGAACCGTTACCTCTGTCAATCCCGTAGAGTCATCCAGTTCAATGGGTACTGGAATTAGTGTCTCAGCCTGTATATTTTCTCGAGCTCTCTCTTGCTCAACATCTAGATCCCTGCCATTTCGTAGACTCACCGCCATCAGCTGCTTTGGGCCTTGATCTTTTGGATTGATTTGGGTATCTGCAGGTAGTGTCCCTTGAGGACGATTGTTAAGTGACATTGAAATTTGGCCCACTTGTACCTCAATATTCTTGATAGCTGCATCATGTGCATCCACCCTTTCATTTATTTTAGCATTGGACCCAATAACCTGCTGCATCATTGCTTCAAGCCTTGCAAACCCGTCTTCCTGTCTTCCACCCTGCTGTTGCTGAGGTGGGTGGTACCCTTGCTGCTGATTGTTGTACCCTTGAGGTCTAGGATACGGTGCCATGTTGTTGGGGGGTCTCATGCCTCCCATATTTCCGACGTTATACTATGGCTGCGGTGGCCTGTACTGCTGCTGAGGCTGCTGACCCCAGTTCTGATTACCTTGCCTCTGACCCCCCATAGTTAGCCACATAGTTCATATCTTCAGGGTGCTGGTGATGATGATCATGCTCTGCATTCCATGGATTACCAATTGGCTGGCTAATGCAAGATGTGCACAAGCCTCCGTTGGTAGTGTCTACTATGTGAACCTGTTGCTTCTGCCCTGATTCCTCCACCTTTTTGGTGAGAATGCTCATTTGCGTCAGAAGAGTCGCCATGTTTTCAGCCATTGTATTAGAAGGATCAAGAGGCACTGAGTGCACCACTGGAGTGATAGGTGCATTTCTAGAAGTCCAACCCGAATTCTGCGCCATCTTGTCGAGCAAATTCTGACCTTCTCTCCAAGTCTTGCTCAAGAATGCCCCACCAGCTGAGGCATCAACTATATTCTTCAAGCTGTCTGACAATCCCATGTAAAACCGTTGTCCCAACATCTGCTCTGGAACACCATGGTGGGGACACATAACCAACATTCCTTTAAACCTGCCCCATGTCTCGTGTAGTGTCTCCATTGGTTTCTGTTTGAAGCTCACAATCTCATCAATTTGTTGAGCGGTCTTGTTGGGAGGATGGAACTTGTTGTGAAATTGCTTGACCAACTCATCCCAAGTTGCTATAGAGTTTATGGGAAGCGAGTTTAGCCAAACCTGAGCAGCTCCTGTCACCGAGAATGGAAACAATAATAGTCTGATTGCTTCCGGAGTCACATTCGGTTGCCTTTGAGTTTTGCAAATAGACAGGAAGTTCTTTAAATGTTGCTGAGGGTCTTCTGTTTGTGTCCCAGAAAAAAGTCCCTTGTTCTGCAACAAGTGTAGCATGTTATTTGTGATCTGGAACGATTCAGCTTGTATCGCAGGCACAATAATGGCAGTGGCCAGATTGTCAGCTGTGGGTTGTGCCCAGTCATAAAGTGCACCCTCAGGCACAGGAGGTGCCATTTGCTCATCCCTGATGTTCCCGTTGGGGTCGTTCACGTCGCCCATGTCAGTTTCGAGTTGGTGTGTTTGTTGTAATTGTTGAAGTCTTTTGTTTGCACGATTCAATGCCCGGAATGTCTTCTCGGGGTCTGAGAGTCCTTCAAGTAGTTCTCCAGTCCTCGTAGAATATCTAGGCATGCACCTGTGTACCCAGATCAACAACCGTCAAAATTTTCAATGAAAAAGTTGGTAGAGAGAAAACTGACTACAATAAGAATCTTTGTATTTCTGTCAATGGCAATTGATAATTCCGTTAACTCCCCGGCAACGGCGCCAAAATTTGATCACGCCCAACTATGCCGTATAAAAGGACAATGCGGTCGCTGCAAATATAATCCGGTTTACAAGTCCGGAGTCGAATCCCACAGAGAGTTAACCTATCAACTGCTACCTTCAGACCCACCAAGTCTTCAGAACCAGCTTTCCAAATATTCAAATTCTCAGTTGATTGTTCTTTAATAACTAACTTGCAAGTAAATAAAAGGCTATAACTAAATTAGAAGGGTTGTAAACAATTATAAAAAAAAAAAGCTAAGGCAATGATTTCCCCTATTGATGAAATCCCTTCTGTTTATGCTCATACAAATTTACCCACACATCTCTATCAATCATGAACGCTAATCTTACCGCAAATCTCTCCCAAGTAATCACAGTAATCTACTATTGCACTCTCCCGAGATACACTAGCTTGCTTAAATTCGCACAGTTCAATTTAAATTGCACCCAAGGCTTCGTTATTCCTAATCCCGCCTTTAAACCCGCAATTATAGATTCCTCTAATAATCTAGGAGTGGTGTTGTTCAACAATACCCTAAATATGCACTCTTTTCCAAGTTATGCACACTAAATAGGCACAGCTAATTGAGGATCCTGTCAATTAACTACAACGAACACGAAGTTGAACAAATAAAGATTTAACTAGCAATTTGTATTCACATAAACAAGAAGTTCATCACTCAATAGGGTCCATCAAAGCCTTAGACAAGGAATTTAGCTACTCATGACTATGGGAGAATAAACTAAGATTGAATTCATCATAAAAATCAAAAGAAAAGAAGAAAGATGTTTAGAGTACTTTCTCACAATTGTTTTTCTTGCTAAGAACCCTTAGAATTCAATATCTCCCCCTTCTTGGGCGAAGTCTAGCGTTTTAAATAGGGTTTAGGTCTAAAAATCCCGTGTTTTACACTTAAGTCCCCGAAGTTTTCTGTACCTACCGCGGTTCTACCACGGTCGCGGTAGAACCGCGGTCAAACGCCTTCGCGGAATCTTCAACCTTCAGAGACTGCCTTCCACCGCGGTCGCGGTAGAACCGCGGTGGAACTTGTACCCGGGCATTTTGGCCTGTTTTGAATGGGTTACTTTGGAAATTCAACAATTAGCCTCTTTTCATCAATAATTGACTCCAAAACCGCTCCTTAGCCTTCCTTACACCTATTTCACCTGCAAATCATGTAAAGCACTAATAAGAGCATTTTGTTGTCATTTTCCACATTAAAAGTTCACAAGAAGGTGATTATTCGGTGCGTGATTCTAGTCAAATTCACCTATTATCATGACGCAAGCACCAGAGTAATGGGGAGAAATTTAAATTGTGATTTTTTCCTTCCTATACCATATATGAAACTTTATTACCAAATATGAGCATAGTTTCTAATTTACCCGCTATGTTCACAGTTTTTCTACAATTATTGTACCATTCATTAAATACTAATTATTAGTAGCTGAATCTTCCTAATTAGGCGCGCTACAAATCAGGAACAGAATATTCTAATTGATTTCGCGACCTTCAGATCAAATTTGAAATGCAAATCCTATATCTTCATTTAAAATCCATTGACAGCCATTAAAAAGCTTGAAAGCTTTGAATTCAATTTTGGTTTTCAAAAATCATTATTTGTTTGGATTGGGTGTTGTTGAAAATAATCGAGAATATGGTTTGGAGTTTATATCTCAACTTTGAGGGATTTTGGTGAAGATTAGACTTGGTTTTGACTGAATTTCAGATTGAAACTCGAAGAAGAAGAAAAAGAAGACATATTGCAGAAATTGTAGATTATTTGTATTCTGATTTTAGATGCTTTATTTTCTGTTTTCACAAATAAAAAACGGCAAAAACTTCTACAAATCTTCTGAAAAAACGCAATTATGTCAAAAATCCCAATTATGCTACAATTGAATGAGAATTGGGATATAAAAATTCAATGTACCTAGTTTCTAGATATTTTGTAGATAAATTGTAGATTATTTGTATTCTGATTGTAGATGCTTTGTTTTCTGTTTTCACAAATCAAAAACTACTAAAACTTCTACAAATCTTCTGCAAAAAACGCAAATATGTCGAAAATCCCAATCAAACTACAATCGGATGAGAATTGGGATATTAAAATTCAATATACCCAGTTTGTGGATATTTTGTAGATGAATTGTAGATTATTTGTATTGTGATTGTAGATGCATTATTTTCTATTTTCACAAATCCAAAGCGACTAAAACTTCTACAAAATCTTCTGCAAAAAACGTAATTATGTCAAAAATACCAATTAAGCTACAATTGAATGGGAATTGGGATATTAAAATTCAATGTACCCAGTTTGTAGATATTTTGTAGATAAATTGTAGATTATTTGTACTCTGATTGTAGATGCTTTGTTTTCTATTTTTACAAATCAAAAACGACTAAAACTTCTATAAATCTTCTGAAAAAACGCAATTATGTCGAAAATTCCATTTATGAGATTGGACGAATCTTTATGATTTAAGAAGAATAAATATTGAAATAACACATGGAGCTAAGTTAAAGCTTGTGACAACGTGTACATATAATGTGCAAAAATCTCCAACACAAAAGAAGAGTGTCCAGCTAGTGGAAGCCTGGGAACAACAGATTTTGCAGGTCTGAATGAATTTAACTAAAACATCCTTCAACTCAAACCCGAAAGAATTGCGTTTTGGATATTCTACACAACTGAAACGTAAAGCAATGCTCATTCTGGAAGCCCAGGAATCAATTTCTGAACTGATAAGCATATGAAGGAAAAAAGAGGGCATGAAGAAAATAAATCCCTCACTAAAACGTGGGTGAGGGTGAGGGTTTGGGAGAGAGAAACGTGGGAGGGGTGGGATATACGGTACCTTGAATTAAGGAGGGATATACGCTGCATTAATTGTACCCTTAAAATACACTATGGTATAGAATTGGTAATTTGGTATGCTAAATGTAATTATATCAAACCTTAAACATTGAGGGTAATAAGGTTTCCTATATGGTATAGGAATGTAAAAATCTCATTTATAAAATTAGCATGATTTGCATCTGCTAATTAAAAGTTAGCCACTTTTTTAAATTAATTGTAATTTAGCCACTTTTTTCACGTGGTAATAATATTTGGACAAAAATACCTTAAGTTAAAATTTGAAAAAAAATCCAGCATAATATATTGGATGTCGAACTTTTTAAATAGGTAATTTCAGCATAATGTGTTGGAGTTCAAAATATCCTGTATGTGAATTTCATCACAATTCACTAGAGTTTGAACTCTTTCAAGTTACACTCCAGCATAATATGTTGGAATTCACGTACAAGGTATCTTTGAAGTTCGCAAGAGTTTTATAATCCAACATATTATGCTAAATTTTTTCCATATTTGGTAAGGGTGTTTTTGTCTAGATTTTATCTCCACATAAGATAGTCATTATTTTTTAAATGACTTTACACACGCTAGTTATTTTTCAATTACCAGGCGAAAGCTAGCTAGCCTATGCTATTTTGACGAGTAATGAGAACCTATCAAGCCGAGATATATAAGGGTTATTATCATTTTTAGCCCGTGCCAGAAACTATTTACATCTGGTAGCCGAAAAAGTATATAAAATTTGTATAATTTTGTATGTATGAATATATATACAAAATTGAAACGGAGGTGTATATATATATATATATATATATACACCTCCGTTTCAATTTATGTGAACCTGTTTGACTGAGCACGGAGTTTAAGAGAAAATAAATACTTTTTGAATTTGTGGTCCTAAATAAGTCAAAGGGGTTCAGAGTATTTGTTTGGTTATAAAAGCTATTCATTAAGGGTAGAATTGGAAGTTTAAGTTAAATTGTTTCCAAATTTAGAAAATGGGCCATTCTTTTTGGAACGGACCAAATAGGAAATAGGTTCACATAAACTGGAATGGAGGGAGTACATTGTTTCGGCTATTATTCTTACAACGGTTATAAAGGTATATTATCACTTTTAGCCCGCGCCAGAATTTTTTTACATATGGTAGCCGAAAAAGTGTATAAAATTTGTAAATTTTTTGTATATATATACCGAATGTGTGTGTGTATATATATATATATATATATATATATATATATATATATATATATAAATTTTATACATTTTTGGGCAATTATTTTTACAGCGGCTATACACTGTCATTTTTCCTAAAATAAATTTAAAGAGAAAAGGGCCGAGATCCGTGTTCGATGGGCCTGAAGCCCAGAGTACTGATGAAGCTCTAGTGTCCTCCCTCATGCAAAGAAAGCGTCTGTAGTTTGAATTCTAGTGTTGGCGCGCCTATAAATAACTAATAGGCCTTCAGTTCAAACTAAGCAGAGTCATTTCAAATCTAAGAGATACAGAACCCACCATGGGTAAACGAATGAGAAGAACCAGAACGCTCTGTTGCTGCGTATCTCCACGAGTTTCACATCTCACTCCTCACGCCATCTTCTCCTGGTTCTCTCTCTCTCTCTCTCTCTCTCTCTCTCCAAATTTGTATTGTGTATATCTAGAAAACAGGTAATCCGATTGGAAAAGAATTTTGAAGCGGAAGCTTCTGTAATTTTTATATCAGTTTAGTGCACTAAGTTATGTGAATTCAAAAGCGAAACGAATTGAATTTTGTGCTTAAGTTCAGCTGCTCCGCTTATACTGATGCCTGTAATTCGGCAACTGTCAAATTCTTATTGATTGAGATTTTGTAGTTCAATACTCTCTGATCGAAATATTTGAGCGAGAAGCAATTTATCTTTGAATATTAGTTAAAATTTGATAGCCGAAATTTCTCCTGTAGTCGAATCTATTGCTTCTGTGAGAAGGCAATGCGAATACTGTATTACTCCAATAGATTTCTCTTAGCTCCAGCGCATATTTTATTGTATCTAGAAGATAAGTAATCCGATCGGTAAAAACAGTTGAATAGATGCTTTGTACTTTCTCAATCAATTTGATGCTCTATGATATATGAATTTGAACACGGACCAAATTGAATTTTGAGCTAAAATTCAGCTGCTTTGCTTATTGCGATGTGTGTTATGACGCAACTGTTGAATGCGTATTATTGATCGAACAGTTCAATGCTCTCTGATCCACAAATTTGAGTTGGAAATCAATTCATTTATTAATATTAGCAACATTTTGATGACTGATATATTACGCCTGCAATCGAATATATTGTTTCTGTAAGAAGGCGATTCGATCTCTCTGATGCTGCATATTTCTACAGTATGATATACTGTTATTAAAACCAACATCATTAGACTCTTTCTGTTGCGGCGTATTTCTATTTTATGTATCTAGAAGATAAGAAACGATTGAGAATACATTTGAAATTAAGGCTTTCTGATTTCTCAATCAGTTCAATGCTCTAGGTTCCATGGATTCAATAGCTAAACATGTTAAAATTCTGAGCAAAATTCAGTTGCTCTGTCGATGTTGTGCTGCAACTGTCAATGCATTCATCGATTGAGGCTTTACATTTGAATGCTCTTTGATCCAAATTTTAGCTTCGAAAAGCGCTTCGTTTTAGTTTATGAGTTCAGGAATGAGTTTAGAAGTATTCTGGTTGGTGGATAACCGTAAGGTTTTGAATGTACAAGTTCAAGGGAATTTCTAATGACTATCCTACTTTTGACGTCAGTTTAGCCTCTATAATACAACGAATCAAAATCAAATGGTTTGTTATATCGCAGAAGTCAATGCTATGAACTCTAGAATATTAGCTGCTTTGTTTACTTAATATCATCTGCATGATCATGAACACTACTGAGATTATATTTTGTTGTGTATCATATGGTAGTTATCAAGTTACTCTTGAATGTTGAAACCGAGTTTATGCCATGAATTCCATAAGGTACGAAGAGGACCTGTGGACAGAGATAGCTAAGTTCTTGGATGGAAAATCTTTGGTGATGCTTTCAGCAACTAGCAAGTGGTTCCGTCGTATCATTATGGAGGACAGCATATGGAAATATGCATGCTTGCGAGACCTCCAGGTTCCTGATCCTGGAAAAGCATCTTTCAAATGGATCAACTTATATGCAACAGCCTTTAGTAAGTAGTTTCTCGGTTTGCAGTTAGTTTGACAACTTAATTGAGAAATGACATCAAAGTGTCTTGTTCTCTACTATAAAAAGTTAATTTACTCGTTGCAGATGGATGCCACTCTTACAAGTTCCGCCAGCAGGAGAAGCATATTGGTATGACCTCTCCTGCAGTTTTGCTTTTATATGGTGGATTTTGGTATTAACACTAAGCACGGCTGTGCTGACAATTTCTGTCAATGGTTCTTGACCCCTTTAATTTGTTTGAACAAAATGATCAGACTGGATGCGCATTGGAGCATTTTCCTTTGACTCGCAAAATGCACTCCTGACAAATAATTTGATCCTTCCCTTGAAAATCCATAAGGAGAAGACAACAGAGAAGATGTTGGAGTCAAATGGGTGCTGTGTGGTCAGAAATATCAAGAGTGGAATCTGGATTGCTGGTAAAAGTCGTGATTGTGCAATATAATTTCTTATCATCATGACTTTTAAACCCCTCTGTTCATTTGTTTTTTCCAGATTTGCAGCTTGTTCGTTGTCCAGTCTGTGACCTCAACACATGTGATGGTAAGCTGATTGTGTATTCAGTTAATATTTTAGAAAGGAAGGACAATTAGTGTCCTTCAGGAGCTTAATCAGTTATGGAGGTTTTCCACTAAATTTGCAGAAAATTGAATGGTCGCCACTCGCCAATTTATATTAGAGTGCAAATTAAACTATTCCACAGTCAGTCCTTTTGGGTTTTGCCCATTCACCTAGGGACTCCACCCCCAGGATTAATTCCTTCGATTGTTTGTCCTATCTATCTGAAGTGATACCAAAGCTGCTTACAGATTTGGATCATGTGTTATCGCAGGAACAATGCAGGTATTAGATGCAAGACACATTGAACTGTTCCTAAGTGAAGGATACCAGGATGGAAGTTGGGACTATGAATTGCTGGGTTCCCACGATGTGAAGAAGCAAGTTGATGGAGCATCTGCTGGTATATTTGATACCAAACATCTCAAGGACTGCTCAACTTCTGGTAAGTTCAACAGTTCAAATCAGTGACATAGTTATAAGTTACTGTTAGTTTGTCCAACACCATCAATTTCAAAAATCGAACTTCCAAAATATAGAATCTTCATGCTGGGACCTTCTTGGGTTCTTCATGCATTAGTACAAGAATTCATCAATTTTTCAGAACGTAGATAATTCATAGTCACAAGAAATCATTGGAGACAACTCCTCGTATAGAGAACAGTTGACTGAGACTTATTCTTGATATGAAATTTGATTTTATCCTGTGTGATTTATAAATGCATGTTCAGCTGTCCTTAATCTCAAGTCATGGGTAGGAAAGCCCAAGGATTGGCAACCAAAAGCTATGATAGCCCCTTATGCAGTTGCAGTCAACACAAATTTGCAAGAGAATGAAGGTATATTTTCCCTGGTTTCTGCAACTTTCATGAGTGACAAACTGTCCCTTATCTCTCACCCAGTACTTACTGTTACATTGTGGTGGCAGGTCTTCACATAAAATTCCATACCATGAAGTCCGGGAAGAATGGTGAAATTGTTTCAATGAGAATATGTGAGCAGCTCCTGTGATTTTGTCAAATTCTGCCAAGTCTAATCTTACTGTCTACAAAACCATAGTTCATTTTGTCCAGCAAATATCAGCTATAACTCCATAAATACAACAAGCAGCCACTATCGACAAGTTTCAGATGGGTTGTAAGTTGTAACCCACCAAGTATACCTAGCAAATTAAAAGAATATATACACTATTTGTTAGCAAATGATTCTTGTTTGTAAAAGTATTACTAACTAGCCAAATTAGCACAGGCAAAATTAGTAATCTGCAGCCTGTAACTTTTTTTATGGCTTATTCTTTCTTGTCCTCTAACAGAAGCGACCTAATAATAAATAAATGGACTTTTTAAGCTTTAACTTGTTCTGAGTTCCCAAAGGCAGTATTTTAAAGGAAGTTGAACTGTTAACATCATCTTATCTGTTTATACATCGTACAACTTGGATTTTATAACATCTTTGGCGTGTCAACGAACTTGAACTTATGACTTTTTAAACAACGTAATAAGTTAATGGAATTCTCTATGCTTTGCTATTGGCTATTGCTGATAGCAGTTTGATTCTTTGATATACATGAGCAAACTGCTATATATTTCTGAAGGCAGTTTCTCCCTATCCAAATTGACTTTTTGAAATACATGGGCAATCTGAAGTTCATCATTTTCTCTTGTCTGCTTTGTTCAACTGTTTATGCAAGACATGATTACCCGGATTTCATTTGTGGGAACAACCACTTTGACATACGATTCCCTTTTGCATTACAAGGCCAGAATCTTCAGAACAGTGGCTATCCTGGTTTCACTCTTAGATGTAGCAATCAAGGCAGAGCAATTCTAAGTCTTCCAGGTGCAGGAGATTTTTATGTACGTGATATTGACTACCTCACCCAAGAAATACAACTCTACGATCCATCTAATTGCCTCCCAAAACGGCTGTTCAATTTCAGCACTTCTTCTTCTCCTTCTTCACCTTTCAAAGCTGTTTCCCATCGAAAATTTACTTTCTTGACCTGTTCAACAAATTCGGTTTCGTCTCTGTTCAATGTCATTGGTTGTCTAAGCAACTCCACCACTTCTACTTTAGCTACTTCTTCAACGAGTCTTGCAAGCCAAATGACAAGTTTGTATAACTGTAGCATAATGAACACTTCGTCTGTTCCTGTTTCTTGGACTTCTCAATACGAATCAGATTTTTCGACTGACCTAAATAATGATCTTGTATTGGCGTGGGATGAACCAAACTGTCAAGAGTGTGAAGCAAAACAAGGTGTTTGTGGGTTCAGGAATGCCACTAGCGGAGAAATTCAATGCTTTGATAGTGGGACAGGTAAATATTTTCTCCATTAGAGTCTCCTTTCGTTTCTTCTTCTGTATTTTCCTTTGGGTAGCTAGGAGTAGAATCAATCAAAAGATTACGCCTCAATCTCAATCTTGTTGGGTTACTATACGAGTCCTTGTATCTCTGGATTGGTCATAGTTAAATTATCTCTATATCAGCCATCAACCTAATGTAACTTACCCCCCCCCCTCCCCCCCCCCCCCCCGTTTTTTTTTTTTTTTTTTTAAAAAAAAAAAATCTAGCTTAGGACAAAGTATACTAGGCAATCACATAGGAGGAGCTAAAGGATAGGTGAGAGTGTTCGAAGAAAATAATCAAGGTGGTTAAAGGACTTTTTGACTTTGATTTAGTAGGATATTCTAAGGGAATGGAAAAGGATAGCCTTAGGCGAGCTTTTGGAGTAAGGTCGATTTAGAAGGTGAGTGTTGGATAATGCGGAAATAAACTATAGTACTAGTCATGATGTTATGTGAATCTTGTATTGATTGTCTCACCCATTTTTGTATTCACCACAAACACTAATAATTGCATTTGGCAAATTTGAAAGGCCAAGCTGCCCAGTTTTATTTTAATTTAGTAGTCAAATGTCAGTCCTTATGGAGAAGCTGACTTCTATTTAAGTGGCTAAGATTATTCCCCAACTTGCCAATCGTGATTGATTGAGATCGTGCAGAAGATGAAAATATACCGTTTATGTCATTTTATCACTTCCGCATAGATCGCAACAACTCAATAAACTGATAATGAATTGATTTGGGTTATATTACTGGCTTGTGAAAGAAAATAACGATTCAACTTGACATATAAAATATAGAGTATTACTTTTGGATAACATTTTATATCCAGGATGAAATATTATATGACAACACCTTGCAGTATATGTAATCTAATTTTGACTTTTATACTTACGGGTGCAATGACAAGCTCACCAAAAGTTGGTTCTGATAATTTGAGTATCAAATTCAAAAACGGTAAGATTAATTAGTCAAATAGTCCAATGTTATTAACAATGATAAAGCCACTGTTAGAAAATTTCAGGCTCAATAAAAATAAAATAAGATATGCCAACAGTTTTGCCTAAAGTTACCATTTCACTTGCAGGCAGCAACCGGGGTCTACAAATTTTCAAATTTATTGCATTAACCTTACTTATTCCAGCCATCACATGTGCAATCGGTGTATCATGTTACATCTGCTTGGATTATAACCGATACAGCCGCGCCATGGCTGCAGTTCGGAACACCGCTGCTGCAATCCAGAACGCCACCAACAGAACAACCGTAGCACCACAACCGGCAGCGACCGCCGGCCTCGACGATTCGACAATCGAGTCCTACACAAAAGTAGTCCTTGGAGAGAGCAGGAGAGTTCCAGGGCCAAATCATATGACTTGTCCAATATGCCTCGCAGAATACAATCCTAAAGAGACGGTAAAGAGCATACCTGAGTGTGAACATTGCTTCCACGCTGAATGCATTGATGAATGGTTAAAGATCAATGGTACTTGTCCCGTTTGCAGAAACAATCCTTCTCCTGCTCATGTTAGTCCTTCATAGCACATAGTTTATTTTACTTATTGCATTTTGAAATCAATGTTGTAAGTTCCGATTCAAAGTTGTACATATGCTTACGGAACCTTTATTAAGATTGTTTAACCCAAAATGTAGATCTAGATTTAAATAATTAGATTTTCTTAATAAAATAGGGTTAATCTTAGCCAATAATAATATTCACTAGATTATTTAATTAGTGCTGTGGCAAAATATCACAAAGTCTGTGGAACAATGATGGACATATAATAATAAACAATATTTAATGGCACAAATACAAAGTGAATAACATTAAATAGCAATAAATAGTATATAATGGTATTTATCATATCATATCATACTATATTATATATAAGTGTGAAGACTTTTAGTGAAAGTTATTTCACTAAAATCTCCTTCAAAAATTGAATGACTAAATTATCCTCTAACTAAAAATAATATTACTTCAATTTTATTTGAGATACTGCTACGTGAAATTGTGAATTGAACAATGAAGTTGGCCATTTAATTGAGATACTATTAAAAGGTAAATTATAGATACAATTAATGGGCCGGGTGAACGTGTGAATTCGAAATTGAAGGTGGAAATTTAATTGGGATCTTATTAAAATGATAAAATTACAGCTGCTATGTGAAATTGTGAATGGATGACTATTGAACATGTTAATTGAAAAGCAGTTTTTAGCATAACCGAAGCTCTTTCATTTGCTTGAACTGAATTGAAAAATAAAGTTTGATATTTAATTAGGACCCTATCAAATGGTACCTTTTCTAAAAATATAATATCACGCTGAGGCGTTTTTCAGTTTTGTTTTTGTTTCATCTTCCAAGGTAGACGTAATGCATGCTGTAAACATATTTCAGTTTTGTTTCTTTGATCTTCTACGATAGTATATATATTTTTGCATGGTATTTTTACATTCTTTATTTCACACTATAAAAGTGCACATTAACTTATCTAACCACTATATCACTTGCAAAGCAGGGATATCAAGCGGAGTAACTTTGTTTTTTTGAACAACATACCAAAATGTATAGCAAGAGATTTGGAAGAGGTAAAATCCTTACAGTATTTTCCTTTTTCTTTTAAAACAGAAATAGTAACATACAATCTTCTAATTTTGCTTGTTGCTCTATATTGACTACTACAAATATTTAATATTGAGAGGCCTTTATTTGCCTAATTAGGTTCTGATTTACCGGTAGAATACTCATTTCATCAGCATTCTTGCTCAAATCCACAGCGGGTTGGTTTATATGCTTTTGCACTCCTTTTTGTGAGACACTTATCTCTTTCGGGATGTAGAAGTGTTCTTTTGTATTGTTCTCATATTTGTGTGGTTCTTCAGCATCACAAGGATGCATCTATGATCCAGTCTACTTTGACGTTACTCAAATTAATAAATTTCATATACCGATTTTGATAAGATCTTTTTACAAGGCAGATAGCAAAGATGATATATTCATCTTTTAACTAATTTGTCGCGAGCAAATCTCATAGGAGATGCCTTATTCCATCCGGTTAATTGTCTTTGATTCTGTTTGTATTTCATGTTTCTATCATTCTTTCTTTAGTTGGAGCTTGTAATTTTTCATATTCCTCGTCACACACATGTCGAAATATTATTTATTCTCATTTTGTTTTATTTGTCAAGTTCTTTTCTAATTATAAAAAATTGAATTAGAAAATTTTAAGATACTAGTATCTATGAACGTGCGTTGCACGTTAATAATGACACATGATGGTTTAAATATTTATTTATTTGAAGGAAGAAAAAAATTAATTAATGAGAAAAATATTATTATATTAACATAATACGTAAATTCAAAATGACAAGATGTCATCAAAACTTACACAAATGATCAATTTAATCATGTTGATTAGATAATAATTGTATTTTAAAAGGTATCTAATGTGATGGTATTTTACCGAACACTTCTTTGTAGACGATATTTTTTTGTGTATGTTTTCTTCTAATGCTTTGGTTGTTCTGCCATAACCAAATCTCTTATTATCGATATTGATATCCCTCTTGAAAGTGCAACATATAATTATTCGTGCAAGAAAATATATTGTTGTAAATATAGTCCAATATTTAGTATGTTTGTCCTTGTACTTTATTTATTGTAATGGTAAAACATAAACATACTGAAAAATATTTTTACATAAATTTAAAAGGATATTCTTTAGTTTCGGAAGATGAAAGTTGATTTCAGGGATAAACACATACTTAGAAACATATTGATCAGTATCATAATTTCTGCATGTATATGACGTTGTTGTCAAAATTTCTATATACTATATGTGTACTATTACATATGCTATTAGGCGGATTTAAGTTTTTTAGTATATGATGGACATATTTTTCTTCAAAATTAATCTATATGCAATGGAAGATCAATTTTACCTTAGTCTATTATATATATGGTGACATTAACATACGTAAGAAATAATGAACTTGACAACAAACCTGGATGGTAGAAAGCCATTTGATATTAAAGTGTTTGAGTATTCTTTTTGGTAGTAATTGATGGTATCATCTTCTGCTGAATCAAAACTGAAAATATGTTGTTTTTACCATAAAACTTAGCAATCAACCTTTTATTTAGTTGATCAATTTATTTCTGCTAGCTAAGATAGCTCTTTAATTTCTATCATGTAATTTGCACAAATTGTATTTAAT